AGGCAGATGTGGAGCCTATTTCTGATAAGAGGGAAGGCAGAGTCTGATAAGGGCCCCCTAATCAGAATTGGGGCAGGTATATGATGCCTCACCTGGCGGGACACAGGATGTCATGGTCAGGCATCTGGGCCCCAGAGAGACAGAGTTTCAGACTTAGTCCCATGGAGGGACAAGCAAACACCTCACAAAATATGGATTTTAAAACTAGGGTGCTCACTTCTTTGGGGGATCATGAAAGCTGGGTTCAGTGGCCACTGAACAGATGTAACATCTCCTCCCAGGTGTCACCTCCCTGGACCTCTTTATGGAAGGTAAACAATCCCTGTTTTGCTCTACAACAGAAGCTTGGGTCTTGTCTCTGCTTTTACATGTGTCCCTGGTAGCTCCCTTGGCCACAGTCTTGCTCATTGCCTGTGACCTCCTGGAGATGGGGAACTCCACCAGGACAGGTTCCCTGGGCAGTTTGTTCACCACCCATCCCGATCCGTCTCCCACACTGCCCAGCAGTGTGCCTGGCACAGAGGTTCTCAGCAACCCTCCAGAATGGAATGAATGAGCCAGTGGAGGGAACCAGAACAGACAGTAACTAACTGCTCTCTGGCAGTTCTTAGAGCTTGACATTTTGTTCCAAATTACTGAATACTCTTCAAAATGTAAGCATTTACATGAAAAAAAAAAATCACAAATCACCCCATTTTCATTTTTTAATGGAAAAGCATAATAGGGTCTCCCCACCTCTGTGCCTTTGAGGCTCCTTCTTACAACCCTGAGTACACACGTGAGGTTAAAGGCAGATGGTCTCCCCTCCCTCCAGAGGGACACAATCTGAGGGCTGATATTCCCGTTCAGAGCTAATGTCCCCGGAGCCAGAGACCCAGAGGTGCGCTCTCAGGAGCTGAAGGGGGCAGGGAGACACCTCTGCCAGGGAGAGAGGGCTCTTCCTAAGACAGAATGCAGGTGGGCTCTGCCCAGGAGTGGTCTAGGTGACCACTACCACCTACCATGGCTGGTCACCTAGGAAAGGAACCCCCAGAAAGGATGGAGCCTGACAGTGTTGAAACCCACCAATACTAGTAAGACACAAATCTCACGTCGATCAATGATCTGCCTGCCCATTCTTGAGAGCTCCTCATTGTTAGAGGTGTTCAAAAGGTCAATTTCTAGCTGAATGACAGGGGATAATAGTTTTGTCCCCTCCTCTGGGGCCAGAATCCTGAGAGATAACAAATGATCAGAAGGAGGAGACATGCCCAAGGTGACACCCCACTTAAGGACAGTGGTGGAGAAACACGTACAATGGTAAGATCCCTGAGTGTAGAGCAGAATGAGGTCTCAAGAGATGATCTAGAGAGTCAACGTGACCCAGAGGCACATGCTGCCACAGGTTAAATCCCTGATGGAAGATCTATGGGACATCAGGCAAATCACTTAACCTCTGCAAATGGAGATGACAACATTACCGCCCTCACAGGCTGCTGCCAGAATTGGAAAATAGGCAAGTGTGTGTAGTTATGACTATTGTCACGGAAGGCAGCCCCGGGGCTTTGCTCTACAGTGATTCACGTTCTCACTTCTGGAAGTCCAGAAGTAAGCGCTCTAAGAGAAGCCACGGCATTTAAGTTTCACAGGCAGCTTTCATGCATCGGAGCTAGACCCAGTTAGTCTGCGACCACTGTTCCCCCAGCCAGAAGGGGGCCCAGCTTTCTCATCCAGCCAACATTTCCTCCAAGGACATTAGACTCACTTTCTTATTCCCCTTTGCCTACTCCATATCTTTCTCTGTCTTGTCAGGAATCCATGGAATAATCCAACCCATCCCGTTCTCCTCTGTCCCAAACACCTGGCCTCTGTTTCAGGCCCCAGAATCCCAGCCTGGGAACTAGAAGGTCTGGATGGCTCCCTGTCCAGGCAGCCTCTAACAAGGGGGTTAGCAGATGGATTCTTCTCTGTGGCCGATTATTTTCCATGGCCTTTGGCCATGTGACCTTGGACCATGATCTTGTCAGTTCTCATAAACTAGCCAGGAGTGGGCTGAGTCACACACAGAGAGGAAGCCTCTGGGGGAAACGGCAGGGGCTGTGGGAGGAAGGAGAGCGGGCTGGGATCCTGAAGGCCATGGGAGCCTCACCCCTGTGCTCCCCGCCTCGGAGCAGCTTTGGCATCACATGAAGGAAAGGAGGAGAAGCAGCGAGCGCCCTTAGGAGGACGGCTGGGCTGCAGGTGGGTCCTCTTTTGAATAAAATCTGGGGGCTAACTGTCCCCAAGACCTCCAACTTGGAAAAACAGCCTTCTTTGGTCATTCCCTGGAACCCCTGGTTGTTGACACCCAAGTCCCTATTCTCAGGAGCCCCAATACATCATCATAAGATGCATTAGAGAAAAGCTGACACAGAGCACACTGCCCACTCCACTGCCGGCTCGCTGTGCTGGGGGAGGTCAGGTGTGGAATATGGAGGAGAGAGCTGGGCGACGCCCCTGATGCAGTGCTGACTGGGAAGGTGTTCTGGGGATGTGAGTGGAGATGTTTACATTCTGCCAAACACACACTGCAAATGAGGTGCCGAGGAAACCTTCTTATGCTCCTATTCTCCAAAAAGGGGTGTTACCTAAACAAGCCCCCGCTTCTCCGCCTAATTTTTACTCTAAATCATCTTTGGAATTCCAAGCTGTGTGTCTCTGTGGCTTTGGGCTGCAAGTTACCTGGTTTTCTCCAGGGATGCATTTTTACAAGGGAGGTGGTTATTCCTGAATAAAATGCTCAACCATAAACCAACCCTTTCACTGTACGTTTTAGTTACGTTCTGGGCACTCGCTTGCCTAAATCCTCGGGAGCAGTGTGCATATAAGTGGGTCCGTAAGTACAGCACATACGTTCATGCGTCCACACAAGCATGGGCGAAGCAGCTATTTTCAGAGTCTGAACTCTATCTTTCAACAAAGTTTAGCTGCTTTCCTTTTGCAAATGCATTTAATTTTATCTGGAAACTTTCTGACGTTAGAAATAGAACAACTGTAGTTTCTCATTATGTTTGCTGCCAGAACCCATGCTTGGTTGCTCACTAAAGACCTTATATCACTAATTACTACCACATGCCCGGATCCCCAGCGCAGGGGAACTTATTGATTCTGACAGCCCATTCTCTCAACACTGAATTCCAAATGAAAACTCAAATTTTGGCCAAACATAACATTTCATCAATCTTGTTCTACTGACTGGAAAAACAACATCAAACAAAGGGTGCTAATGGCCCTCTATTACTGTGCCTTTCCCGGGCTTATGTTTTCTGATGAAAGATCTAAGTGACCAAAGGGCTCCTTTAAACTACTTAGTAATTAGCTTTTGAACCGGGAAACAATGCGCAAAGTGCACAGTCCCCGCGCTGATGACAGAACCTGCTCTCTGTCCCCGGGGTCGGTGACATCGGAGACCCAGCGAGAACATTAAAAGCAAAGTGCGCATTTTCATAAAAGGGGGACAGGAAAAAAGAGAGGGGGCGGGCATACTCGGGCTAGCAACGGTGATAAAAGATTACCGAGACCTGAGGCAGAACAAAAGCCACAGAAGCCTGTGATCTGAAGTCATCACCACGAGGGGGCTGGAGGGGAGACGCCAAGGCAGAAAGCGCCCGGATCAGACCAGGCTGGAGGTGAGCGCTGGTCTGAGGGCCTGGGCCGGTCACTGGCCATCAAAAGCTTGTCAGCCCCCAGGCCCACCCACACTGGGGTTGGGAAACTAATTGGGGGTGAAGGGAGTTTTACGTGGAGCAAGAGTCAAGGCGTATTTCCAACCTGGACTTCAGGGCAATTGACTTTACTGCCTCTTTCGGGGGCAGGGACAGGACAGGCTGGCTGGGACAGTGAGTGGGAGGCCAACATGGCCCTTCCAGTGGGAAGGCCGTCTGCTCTGTGGCGACCTGCCCACACTTTAAGACGGAACTGGGAGAAAAGCTGTTTTCCTCTTGGCATGGGGCACATGACTGATGGAATCTCCGGACACATTTGGCCTTTCAGATGCAACCAGCGGCCCAGAAACCAGAGCAGCTTGGTGCTCATCTCATTCGGGCTGTGAGGGGAATAGGAGAGTAGGGCTCCATCAGAGGGAAGGTGGAGGCACAGACCAGTTCCATGAGAAGGTGCCAATTGGCTCCCTCTCAGCCACGGTCCTTTGTGCCTTTGAAAGGAAACGGGTGTCCTGCGGGTAGTTCAAGACAGTGAACCCTGTGGCTCCAGCCTGCTCATCAAGGTACATGCCCTTGACCAGAATTGAACCTGGGACACTTCAGTCTGAAGGCCGACGCTCTATCCACTGAGCCAAACCAGTTTCAGCCCAGCCAATCTTTTGACCTAAAGGCTGAAATATCCAAGTCATTCAAGTTATCTATATAACTTGAGTGGATAAGCATGGTCTGGATTGTACACCTTTCCCCAGCCCACATTGTAAGCCCCTGCAATTTTCCAGATCCCTAAAGCAAATAAAGCCCAGTACATGATGGTCATTAAGACAGTTTTTAGTGTCAATTGAGGATATGTCCTGGCATGGCTCCTCAAGTTGAGGCATGTCCACTCTTAACCCATGTGTGATGGGTCCCACCTCGCACCCCTTCCAGGATAAAGCCATGTCTCTTGGAAAGATGCATGGGGGGACAGTGGTGAACGAGAACAAGGCTGGTCGGCTGGTCCCAGTGCGACAACCCAGGTAACATCACACCCCACCCAGAGCATGGCCCTTCCCTCAGAGAGATGCCCGGGCGGTAGGAGAGGGCAGGACTCAGGTGCCGCCACACAACCACATCTCTTCTGGTGCCGCCAACTTACTTTCTGCCTCCATGTTTGTTAAAAGTCCCGCCGAATTTATTCCGATTCAGGATGAGAGCGGCAATTTCGGGCACGTAGCGGGCAAACATTGCCTACATGCATGAAACAGAGAAACAAGAGCCAAAAAAAACAATGGCATGCAAAGAGGACCCCGCAGCGGAGGCAGCAGCCCTCTGGATACTTACTTTCTTCCACTAACCGCACTATAGGAGCCCCCGTATTTCTTGCGGTTTCCTATTAACTCTATGATTTCAGGGACGTAGCTGGCAAACATGGCCTGAGGAGGAGATAGGAGACAGAAGAGAGACTAAAAAGACAGGCCCAAGAAAGGGGTGACCTTTTTAGGAGGGGGGATGCTAAGATCTGAAAACACAAAAGGATTAGGACTGCAAAGGTATACACCAATATGCTAGATTATAAAAAAAATAAAAAATAAAAAAGGCATAAAAAGGGTAAGCTCCTGAAAATACACAAAGCAAAACAAACATCAGCCAGCCTAGACAACTAAAAAGATCACAGTTGCTACTGCTATTGCCCAAAAGGCAAATACAAAGAGAAAAACATAAAGGAGAGGGGAATAAATAAGTTGACATTTAGCTCTTCTTCCTGAAGAAAAATAAGTAAGGGGGATGCATGCTGGGGAAAAGACACACTTACACAGACTCACACACACACACACACACACACACACACACAGGCACGCACACACACACTCACACACAGGCACGCACACACACACACACACACACACACACAGGCACGCACACGCATACTCATTATTGCAGGGAAAGACCTTTCTAGCTAAAATCCAGAAAAGAACCAATGCCTATGGATGATTAAAGATAATAAACACCAAAGGAAGATTAAAATAATACAAACTTTTGCATTTTAAAAAATCACTAAAAAGAGCACACAGTAAATTGAGGACATCACATGGGAGGACAGGAGAGCGAGGAGAAACACACATGTGCCATGTTTTGTCCAACAAACAAATGCGCCTGTGGCTGGATAAACCGGACCTCACAGACGCTGTGGGGACACGTGTGTCGATGTACACACACACTCGTACATTTACCTACATTGTTAAATGTATATGCCTTATGCATACAAAACAGAAAGATGAGTATGCATAGCGTAAATGTGTGCGTGGTGTACATATGTGGAAGCTGTGTGTGAAGTAGGATTTTAATCATTTACCTCACACACAGCAAAAACTGAATCTGAGCCCGGTTCAGTAGTTGAGAGGTCACGGTTTGATACCCAATCAGGGCGCATGCCCGGGTTGTGGGCTCAATTCCCAGTGGAGCGGGGAAGAGGGGGCGAGCAGGAGGCAACCAATGATTCTCTCTCATCATTAATGTTTCTTCTCTCTCGCTCCCTCTCTAAAATAAATAAAAATATTTTTTAAAAAAAATCAAAGGTACAGTGAGCTGCTTTGAGAGACAAAATGCAGCCACTGCCACTGCATTGCCAAACTTCCCTTGCAAAGGACAGCATAACCGGCATTCTGATCTGCATAGAGCAGACAAGCAAACAGCGACACTTTCTGACTTAAAGGGGAAGAAAAAACAGCCCAGGTGCCACACTTGGTGACATCCTCCTGGACAAGACCAGTGGGCCTCCATCTCCGACATGGGGACCCCATTCTTTTGGGTATACCCCAGCCACAGTGTTTGTTGGAAGTTTGGGGAGGACTGTCAAGGGGCGGGGAACTCTTGAAACCGCAAACTGTCTATGGAGTCAGTTACCAGGGTCAGAGGACAGAAACTGTCCTTGCAGAATGTCAGATACTGAGTTACATTACTAAGGGACAGACTCTAATATGTGGGCATCACTTTCTTAAGACAAGTAGGTTTGCTCCTGGCTAAATAACTGACGCTGGCAAGGGCAACATGCCTGGGTCTCTGGGAAACAAGTTAATACACCAAAGAAATATGTAGAAAAGCCCCCCTCATGCTTGGACCGACTTAGCCTGTTAAGGCAATCACTTGCTTCTAGCAGAAACACACTATCAAAATACACAGCTTTCAGGAATGGGTAATAGAAGATACTAATGACCATAAAAATCAGCATCATAACAAAGAGCTTTTACCAGTCCCCCGAGGATGAAGAAGACCATGAAGAGGCGCCCCAGCGTGGTTTTCGCATAAACATCCCCGTAGCCAACAGTGGACATGGTAACCATGAGCAAGTAGACACATTCCCAGTACGTAAGCGCCTGGTGGTTTTGGAAATTTTCCCATGGGTCCCCTGAATTCTCCACCTAGAGAAGGGTGCAGGGGAGAAGAAGGGAATATTATGCTAGAGATAGATATCCTATATAGTAAAAGCCTAATATGCTAAGTATCTGGTCGTCCATTCAACCAATTAAAGCACAATATGCTAATGATATGCTAAGGCCACTCAACTGCTCACTATGGTGTACACTAACCACCAGGGGGCAGACAATTGACTGGTTGACCAGTTGATATGACATCAAAACTGACCACCAGAGGGCAGATGCCCCAACTGGTAGGTTAGCTGGCTGCAAGGGTCCAGCTGATCAGCCTAAGCAAGATGGGCTGGACACGCCCTGGAGCCCTCCCATGGTCCCTCCCCAACTGGCCAATCTCCTCCCACATCTCTCCCCAGCCCTGACTGTGCACCAGTGGGGACCCTCAGCCTGGCCTGCACCCTCTCGCAATCCAGGCTGAGGGGTCCCCCACTAGCCCCCTAGTGCACAAATTTTGTGCACCTGCCTCGTGTGTGTGTGTGTGTGTGTGTGTGTGTGTGTGTGTGTAGATAGATAGATAGATAGATAGACAGATAATAAGCCAGGCACACAAAACTTCCAGCAGAATGTTTTGGAGGGGCGGTCCCTCGACCCCAGTGTTGGCTGCCTGGACTGGGTTCTGTGAGGGGCACTTGAGCAGAGAGCAGGGAGTGGCAGGAACACAATCATGCACCAGAAGTAAATGGCCCTGGTCTGTTTTCCCTTCATTGTTGAAGATCTGACACCAGCTGCATATTAGGGCCTCGCTCTGACCTCGCTTTATGGCATTCCCATTAAGGAAGGGGCCAGAGAGCCCTGCTCTGCCCTTTCTCAGCAAGTGCCTGCTCCGTCTCCCAGTGCCCCACTCACAGGCTCCCAAAGAAAGCCTAGGGCCTCCCGCAGAGGGTTCCTCGTTCCATCATCCAGATCTCACGCCCAAACCCCCAGCAGCATCTCCTGGGGTCTGGCTCGGCTCCCTGTTTTGCAGATCCTCAGCACTGGCTCCACCCTGAGAACCGCAGGAGGTTCTTCGGAGCACGAAAGGAGGCCCATGAGAACAGTTTGCTTTTGCAGGACTCTTTAGGCCTAGGGAGCTGACATTTTCTGCAAAAGGCCAGAGAGTAAATAAATGCTTTTAGCCTTGCGGGCCATGCGGTGTCTGATCTCTGTAGGGACAACTCGGCTCTGTATTGGTGGGTGAAATAGGGAGTGGGTCAGGTTTGGAGGCCTGTGGCCCAGGCTGCAGTGTGCCCGTCTCTGCTTTAAAATGTCACAAACACTTTCAGTCCTCTCATCACAGCTGATCTGCCAACAAAGCCGGGAGGTGGGCAGGAGAGGTATTGCAGATACTCTCAAGAGAGAGGGAGAGACAGCAGCTGGTTCTCCCTGACCAGTATCTGTGATCCCTCAGTGTGGCCAGTGTGAGGGCAGGCCCCAGGCCCACAGGCCCACAGGCCCCAGACCTCCACCTCTGCCTCTCCAGAACGCTCCCAGAACCTGCCTGGTCCACACATCACCTGTCCTCAGCTCACACATGGCCCGTCCTCAGTTCACCATCACCTGTCCTGAGCTCACCATCAACCATCCTAAGAGCATACAGCATGCCCTTTCTATGGAAGGTCCTGGTGCTGCTCACAGCAGCCAGGTGAGGTCACTGGCTATGGAAAATGACTAACCCTCCCTATCTGTGATGCAGAATTAGGGTGATCATCAAAGGGTGATTTCAGCCAAGAATCCCATCCGCATAAAAAAGTAGGTGGGGAACCTTCAGATCTAGTGACTGAATGAGAGCCTGGCTTCCCTTGGGCTGTGCTCCATGGGGGGGAAAATCACACAAGTCCCTATGGTAGGCAGCCAAATGCCAGCTTCCATCCCTGAGGCAGAGAGGGCAGCCCCTACTCAAAGCTTCAGAGCCAGATAAGGTTCTCTCAGGGGTAACAGTTTGCCTTTGTCTCAAAGAGGCTCCCTACAATGGCTGTGTTCCCTACAAGCAGGAAAAGTCTGCCCTGAGGAGGTGAGAACAGATCACTTCTAATACAAGGCTTTTAAAGAATCGCTCATCCAGAAGAATTCACATTTTTTTGAGATTCAGAATAACTTGACAACTCATTAGGCAAGAGAATCAAAGGTGGCTTTTTGGAAGGGGGAAGAGAGAAGAAATTGAGGGATCTGAATGTGTTGTTTACAAAGATGTGGGGCAAACTTCCAACCTTGTCCCCAAGATATTTTCAGGCTTTTTGCTGAGGGAGCATTGCCATCTTGTGGCTCATTGCAGGTATTGCAGACAGAGTGAAACTACCGAAGTCCCAGGGCACAACTTGGGAGCTGGAAAACGCAGGATACTACTGCAAACTTTGCTCACCACTGGAACCAGTTTGGGGTAAAGGGTTGGAAATCCAGACAACGGTGCAGTTGCTTCTTCTTTTCTTACGCTGGACGGCTGGGCTTAGCTTCTCCACAGTGAGAAATAATGAAGGTAACAAAAAGACTCAGAGGCTCGTTCCAGGAGAGCCAGAGCTAAGGCATCTAATCTGCTAGGCTACTTACCAAATGGATGAACCCGGCTGCGGTGAGCCACGTGCTGATAAAGATGGAGAGCAGATTCACCAGCTTGATGGAATTACTGTGCGGAGACAACAAGCAAAACCCCGGGTTACAACACAGGTTCCTGCTGGGGCTGCCTCTTCAGCGGACAGGAAGCTCACCCCAGGCTCCCAGTGCTCCCCTCACTCCCAGGGGAATGTCTCGGAGGTGGCATAAATGGGCCAGGCCAGAGCCTGTAGGAAGGTCACATCAGGGCTGAAAGGTGCCCCTAAATTAGCCCTCCAGTTGTACTTAAGGTTTTTGTGTGTGTGTGTGTGTGTGTGTGTGTGTGTGTTTTAGTTATTGTTAACTTTTATTTTGAAAGGCTTTCAATCAAAAGGAATAATCATAGAACACTATAACAAGCCTTGTATGCCCTTCACCTAGATTGACTAAGATTTTGTCACATCATTTGCTTTTCTTCTTTATTTCTTACTTTTCTTTCATCTATCTATCATCTATCTATTTTATTATTTTATTTTATTTTATTTTATTTATTTATTGATTTTTTACAGAGAGGAAGAGAGAGGGATAGAGAGTTAGAAACATTGATGAGAGAGAATCATCGATCAGCTGCCTCTTGCATCACCCCCACTGGGGATGTGCCCACAACCAAGGTACATGCCCTTGACTGGAATCGAATCCGGGACCTTTCAGTCCGCAGGCTAACGCTCTATCCACTGAGCCAAACCGGTCCTGGCTATTATTTTATTTTTAGACTGAACCACTTACAAGTAGACTATAGACATCATGATTCAACCCCCTAAGTCCTTCAGCATTCAACAGCCAAGACAGACATTGTGCAGCCCAATCCCAATATAACAGCCGTGCCTCGGGGAGTTAACAGGAAGTCCTAAGGTCCTGGAATACGTGCTCCCTGTTTCAGTTTCCCCATGTATATGTTTGCATTTTTTTTTTTTTCACCCTGATTCAGGAACTAGCCAAGATTCATGCGTTGTGTTTGGTTAATATGTTGCTTTAATCCAGGGGTCAGGAAAGTTTCTGTAAAAGGTCAGGCAGTAAACACCTTGGGCGTTGCGGGTCACAGAGTCCCCGTGACAACTCCTCAAAGTTGCACAGTAGGATTAGAGCAGCCTGAAGCTCACGGAAAGGAATGGATGCAGATGGGTGCCAATAAAACTTTATTTACAAAGCTGACATGGGCTGCCATGGGCTATATAATTTGCTAATCCCTGCTTTATCCTTTCACCTATAATCTACTTCCTTTTTTGTTTGTTTTTACTGACATTTAATTTCCGTGCACCAGTTCAGCTCTCTTATAGAACGCTCCATATTGTGGATTTGTCTGATTGGTTCTCATGATTAGATCCCGTTTTAGTTCTTCTCTTAAGAGTATCTGCCTCCGATGAGTCACACAGGTGTAGACAGTTGGCTACCATGGGAATGTCAGATCTCTCCAGGAAAGGTGCCCTTTGTAATTCATCTGCAATCTATGCCCTGAGACTCTGAGACCATATGAATATCCTGCTCCCCAACAACCTTATATCTAACTACCCGTGTTTCCCCGAAAATAAGACATCCTCCGAAAATAAGACCTAGCGCAACTTTGGGAGAAAAAATTAATATAAGACACTGTCTTATTTTCAAGGAAACAGGGTAAAAGCCTAGGGCCAAAATCCTTGCACTAATGGGGTCCCTAGCAGCTAGTTGCTGCTGGCCAGGGCCTCCCTCCCTTCCCCCTGGCCAGCCCCACTCCCTGATCAAACTCCCAGACAAACTCCTGGTGGAGGGAACAATTTGCATACTACGCTTTTATTATGTAGGATAATGTCAGCACTCACCTGTGTTCCCTGAGTGAGTCAACTGGAACCTACTACATTTTAAGCTCCCTGAGAGGAGCCTTGTCTGTCTGGGTCCCAGGAGCAGAATCCCTGGCACACAGTAGGGCTTCTATGAGTATGTACTGAGTGAACTGGTCTCTTCCTCTGCCATCTCTACCCCATTAAGCTTAAGGCTCATCCTGTCCACTCCCACTGGAAAAGAGCTCCTTGGATGGTCCTGCCAGCAGGCCACTTCCTGCCCACAGGCTCCCCGCTAAGTGAAATGCTATGCCCCAGCTCTGTCCTCCCATCTCCAGTACCATCCGAGGCTCCAGGCTCTTCCTCCACACTCTGCCTTCCTGCTCACTGTGCCTGTTTATTACTTGGTAGGAACATCCTCCCCCTCTACCCAAGTCTTTTCTTCAAAACCAGGTTCAATCCACCTCCCTCTGCACACAAAGTGGCTCCTCCTCTTGGCTCTTACCACTCAGCCACTTGGTCATGGATCCCACTGACTTAGACATCCTTTGCAATGTGGTTGTGGATGGCTATTTGACTCTGATCCCTAACAGAATCCTGTAGGAAAGAACTCAATTTTTATCTCTTTCAGTCCCCCCTACTGCTCCAACACCACCCCCAGGTGGTTCACCCATCATTCTTGATTGGTCTCTGCCTCTTCCCTACTCTCTCTCTCTCTCTCAAGGGGAACCATTTTAATTCTAAGTGTTTAAGATCCTAGTAACAGTAAAGGCTAACACTTTTCTATTATGCACCCTGCCATTCTAAGTGTTTCACATATATTAACTCATCTAATCTTCCCAATGACTCTACGAGGTCATCCAGCAGTCAAGAAACTGACCCAGGTTCACACAGCAAGCAGCAGAGTTGGAATCTGGACCCAGGCCACTTGGCTGCAGGGTCTGCCCTCTCGGCCACACACTACAGAGCACCAGTCACCTTAGAAAGCATCCCAGATTGCTAACAAAACTGTGCACCCATACTCTGAGCACAGGAGATGCAAAAGGGTCGGTGAGTCCTGCCCCATGGGAGAGTCTGTCTCAACATATCGATTAACCTCTAGACCTGTCACAGAAAAGGATGGAGAGGACAATTCTGGCTACTACATCTCTCCTGGGGCCCCACGTGGGGATGTTGATGGGGGCTGTGGCCCATGGGGTAGCCAGGGTTACAGGAGGAGCCTGCCTTGGAGGTCCGTGCCAGGATGGGCATGATGCCAGTGCCCAGCTTTCCTTTTCCTTCCACCTCTTTCCTTTTACATAACTGAGCAGAGGATCATGGTCTTATTTTCTAGAGTTGGTTCTGACAGTTCAGGAAAAAGAATGAGCATATATTTTTTCACTTTTGTGGGCAAGACTGATCTTTGAAGTATGTACGACAACTTCCTTATGGTTCAAAACCAGACTAGAAAAACAATAAAGCACACTCTATCTTTCTTCGTCATTTCCAGCTTGCCGGATCACAATAATGGCATACAATAATGGCCAACTTTTATGGAGTCATTATTATGTGCTAGGCATTGTGGTGAGCTCTTCATTTTCTTCGGAGTTTTCCATCTATACAGGGTTTCCCTTGATGCTATCACTGTGCTATACACGGGTAATGAAACTGAGGCTGGTGAGTAAGCAGCTTCTTGAGGAAACATGGTAGTAAGTGGTGGGGGCAGTATTCAAACCCAGGACTGCCTGACCCAGAGCTGCTGACCTAAGCACCTTGGAGGGGCAGTGCAGAGAGTGCCCGTGGACCTCTTTCCTTGATGCTTTGATTACCCTACATCTCTTCCTCGAGGGAAGCCCTGTGGATGGGCTGGTTGTCAATCAAAGGCCCCCACCTGTTCCTCCACTTGAGTGGCCTGAGCCAGGCTGACCAATGGAGGCACTCCCAGCTCTAAGAGCGATGAGGTAGAGACTATTAGAAGCAGTTTTCAGAAGCTAAGCAGGGAAAAAAAATCTTGCTCCTGAGACGTGGGTATGCTCTAGTGGCCACCTGCCCTGAGCAAAGCCTGTCTTGGAATGAAATCTGAAAGACACGGAGATAGAGACAGAACCCTGACAAGAGCAACTGAACCCCTGAATCTGACATGCCCAGTTCCCTCTTGGACCCACTGTCAGTCAAGGCTAGTGCGAGGTGGACTCTGTCACTTGCAGCTAAAAGCCATGTGCCTACAATAGAAGAGTCGATATCCAAAATGCTCTTGGAAAACCCAAAACCAGGTCTGGGACTGTCCATCTGTGGAAAGAGGGCAGATCCTGCACCATCCACTAGTGTGCTAACCAGTTAATCCCGTGGCCCTGGAAGTTCTGCTAGGAGTCTAGCACAGATCTGCCAAATCCTGGCCTTCATCCCCTTTTCCGGACACTAGCTGCCAGGGCTCATGCCTCACCTCTAAGTAGCTGTGAAGGAAGACCCCCAACTGGCCCTCACAATGTGTAAAATCTCCCTTCTAAGCCTCTCCCTAGGGCTGGCAGATACTGTAGCTCCTGCCTTTTGTTCCCCAGAGCAGCCGGCCAGCTTCCTCACTGGCCTTGCAGAGGCTTCTCGCTGTGGAAGAACTGCCACCCCACCCAGATATCTGCAGAGAGGAAAGAAGGCACCCACCCAGTGAGCAACAGCAGGGGTGGCAACCCCGGCAACCAGTGTGCTGAGCACACTGCAGCGAAGTCACACCTCGGCCTGTCCCCAGTCTGCTTCTCAACAGGAAGCCAAACCAGACAGAACGCTCCCGCCTCTGCCTGGTGATCCCACGGTGGAGAGTGAGAATCCTGTGAACAGGTAGCCAGTGGCACCGGGAGAGATCTCAGGGGAGCAGGTATAGTGCATTTTCTCAGAGGATAACTAAACACCACGTTGATGCACATAGACCCCGGGGCCAGAACAAAGCAGTGTCCCACCAACAACCATGTAGAGCCTCTTGAGATATTAAAAGTCTTGGAGTCTCTGAGCCTTTTGGTGCTTTTGGGGGGGGGGGGGGGGGGAGACAACCTAAATACAGCAATAATCCATCTTTAAACGATTAGTCACCGCAATATTAATACTGCTTCAGGGGGCTGTTGCTGTGCATAGAACATTTCATCCTTGTTGCTGAGAGAGTCCATATTCAGCACTGAAATCTGATTCCTTTTAGTATCAGCATCATTTCAGATCCCCAGTCTTAGGGATTTGTTTTCCAAATGAAACTCCAAGGCCAGGTACATAGGGCTCCTTCAAAAAGGGGGGAGGGGAGGTAGCAGAGATAGGGCTG